GTGGGGGAAAACAATAGAAGTGTTGTGGTGGTGGTGGTGATGGTGGTTCACATCAAAGAAATATGCTAATTAGCAGGAAGGCGCGAAATTTTCCTTCAGGTTGGCCTACTCCGGGCCGCATCCAGTTGTTGCTTTAAGGTCTCTAATAGAAATGTGGTGGTGTTGGTGGATGTGGTAGTGGGAAAGCAATAGACATGTGGTGGTGGTGGAGGGAAAACAAAAATGTGGTTGTGGTGGTGGTTATGGCAATGGAGGGAAAACATTAGAAATGTGGTTAGGGTGGTGCGGTAGCATTAGAAATGTGGAGCACCAAAAACAGGAGGAAGGAAAGGGAAAAAGTATTTTTCATGATAGAGAGAGTTGGCCTTCCCGAGGACGAATTTGACTACGAGATTTTCTCAATACTAAGTATTGCGCGCGCATGAGCCAGGGGAAGTCATTTTCGCGGGAAAACATGATAGCCGTAGTCATGCTACAACGGGATTTAGCGAGAATGCTGAAGTAGTGGGAGCAAGTTGTCAAATGTTAGAAGTTTTAGATCGGGAGAAGGCTGAACCCCTTCAGTATAAATAACCGTGCTAAATGTTTTGGTGAAAAAAGGTAGAATGAAGCTTTCCGGAGCGTCTTTTTTTTTTTTTGGAGAACACAGGCAAATCTCGTACTCGTACTTGTTCTCGTCCTCAAATCTAAATCTCTCTAATTACGATTTGCACGCCAATAATCAGTAAGCCGGAACTGGTATAACTGTGTTAGAGAATGAAAGTGGCAAGTGATAGAACTTGAATAATTACGTTACGACTCGGTAATTTTAAGTCACAGGCGAGTCAGCGCACTTCAACAACATGAAATAACCAATGACTACTACTCAGTTATTAGTCATCCTGTCAAAAGCAAGACCTTCATTGACCTGGAAATAACTGGAAAACCTTTCCAACAGGTTAAACTACCTAAAATGACCTTATCTACGAAAATGCTATGACGTCATGGGTATTAATGTATTCCACTTCACACCAATGAGATTTCACTTTAAAAAAGGATAATTCAGTCCCTACTATACTACTCTCTACAATAACAATAACTTAGCATACAGATTTCCCTGCAATTTGACAATTGATTATTAATTACCTCTATCATCATCATCAATTTTAACGGCTTTTTCCCTTTCAAAACATCCCGTCATTCCATCTTCTTTTTGACCAAACCACATGCCGTTATATCTACAAAAACACATGTACGTCAGATTAATTTTATTTATCTATTAATTTAGTATCAATAATAGTACAGTAAACCCTTTGTTACATTTTGAGATCCCGATTTAAAAACTTATTTAATGTACCTTGCTGTGTCTTGAGAAATAACCCAGACCATTTCACCCTTCTTGTATTTTAACTGACAAGGGCTGGTGTCATTTATATCCACTGTGAAACAACATTTCACTGGTTTTTCCTGCAAAGGGCAGTTAAGTCAATGTTAATTTAGACTGAATAGAAACATCAACTTTTGGGTGTATAATTCTATTTTCCAACTTTTCATAATGAAGATGTTCACACATATTCCATGGACTTCCACGCATCTTGTTTTGGTGTTGTGAGACAACACGGAAATCCATAGAATCCAGTTCAAATTCACGCCTTTCGTACAAAGAACACAGTGAGTTTTATTCTCTGTGAATATCATTTTTATGTATGTATAAATCTAAACAAGAAAAATATGTCATCATAAGTGAGCACAGGAGAGATTGAAAAGCTTTTGTTTTTACTAGAGATAGTGCTATTCTTAAAAATGCTGAGCTTTATACAAAATTTCAAAATACCTTGTACTTTGTATAATTCCCTGTCATTACGGACAGGGAGTGTTTCTCACTCACTTCCAAGGGAGTAATATCTGACTACATTTTTTTGCTACATCTTTGACAAATTTCCTGAAAATCTTCAACTCATACTGCGTTTTCTTGGGTATTCTTGTTCTATAGTTGTTTCGAAAATGCATCACATTCGCTTTACCACAATATCTTTCAGCTGTCATATATATTCCAAACAACAAACAACCCAGTTCTTTCCACAAAGATAGAAATGGCAGCAACTGTGAAGTCACTGCTCCATATAACCAATCTTGTTACATAAAAAAATCAGCCACTAAGTTCCTGTATGTAGTGATTCTGAGAGTGCTCTAGTTCCCGTTAAAACACTCTGTCCATACAGTGATCAAATATATGACATCGTGTCTAAATGAAAACTGTTCATTTAATACCACACCTTAGCAAGGACTTTACTAATTTCTTGAAAAGCTGGTCTGTTGTGAACATCTGCAGACAAGCATTGCTCCATAAGAGAAGTAATACCACTAGGACACACCATAGGGGACTTCATGTCATGCTACAAAGAAGATTATTTGTAGTTTAAAACCTCAACACATCAAATAAAAAATGCAGCAATATCCCTTTCCCAGAAGGGCAAATCTACAGGAGACCCAGCCACATTTCTAAGAGACCATTTATCGATATCCTTCAAATTTATTATGGCATATATACCATATAGTAGCAGGGTGCCGGAGATTTTATTTTCACTTACTTGTATTTCAAGAATGGACCTGATTTTGATACCGAAAGTTTTTGTTAGACTATTTATTTCATTGAAGATCATTTTCAAACAGGAAACTTCAACTGCACACAGTGGAAGCCCCGGGAGCAGAAGTCACTGAAGTGAATTTAAAGCCAAGTGCTTATTTGTTGACCTACATCAGCAGAAGTTTTTTACCTACGGTCGACAACCACAGGCTTAATATGCTTTCATTTCAAAACCGCAGAATGAGGAGGGAATTTTGTCGTTGGTTGATTGGAAGTAGGCATAGAGGCTATTGCATCATAAGTTTTAGCCTTGCTTAAAACTGTAGTCGCTCGTGAGCAATTCATAGGCGCTGATGGTGACTGGGCGCCATTAGGCAGCGTGAGGTGCGATATTGCAGAATATCATAATATCAATCATTACTATAATATCAAAATATCAAAACCTATAGATAATGATATTTTGATATTCTGTAATCCCGCACTTTAGTGGTTAGGCAGCAGCCTTAAAAGACATGTTAAATTTTAAAACATTCGTGTCCGAGCCACCCCACACAGAATCTGATGATACAATAGCTGAATTCAATAATTAGTTTATTATTAAACAATTCCCAGTTTAAAAACAAGCTAACACATGCTTACCTCCATCAATGTTAAGTTCATCTTCAATTAACTGTTTATTGGCAAGTTTAAGAGATAAAGGGTTGTTCAGTCTGCAAATACTCTCCAAATAGCAGATGTCATCTGTCGAGTCGTCTTCTTTTTGTTCTTGCTATGCTTATGCCAATAGTTCACCTATTTCTTCCTCATGGAACAAGTGAAATGTTCCACCATTTTGTACTGCCTACCAAAACAACTCAACCTCGTCTCCAGGTCTCCTTGGTTAACTGTTCAATAATCTGGCAATTTTGCCTCACAATTGACACGATTTTTCACATCTTACAAAATTCTTCCAAATTTCGTGAACATTAGCTGGTTATGATGAATTCAGCGTGGGATTTCAGCCAATCAGAAATGGAGAAATATTTTGAATGAATAATAATCTTTTATGATCTCATTACAGGCAAGATGCTGCAAAAATGCTATTTTCCTTGTTATCTTGAAATGAAAATAACGCCAAGTTGAGTGTACTTTTTAAACTACAATCGGCTGAAATTTGGCCAGCTTACTGCCAGGTAGTTATTCTAAAAAACAGTGTCTGCAAATTTTGATTTCTTTTTTTTCATTTTTTAGTTACAGTATTTTTTCCACAGGTAATACAAATGAGTTGTTATCCCTAACTTTACCTGCTTAAAACAAAAGAACAAATGCACTTCACAAAAATTTGTCGGTTAGTTTTTAATCAGATGTGTCAACAAGTGAATGCGATCCTAAATAGTTTCTTCTGTTTATTTTTGGCTGGCCTGGACTTAAATTTACGGAGACATTTACAGTTGCAAAAAGCTTGTCATTTCTGAAATGTGTTCGTATTTTGGACTTTCAAAAGAAATAAGCTGAATCTTGAACTACAAAGCTTTCAGAAAATTTACGGTTTGTAGGTATTACAATTAAAGCTACAAACACTAGCGCATTCCGCACAAAGTCAGTGGTGAAGGTGGGATCATACCTTAAAATTAAGAGCTATCCTAACTTATTTTATAATACTCACTGCTATTTTAAGTGGCTACTTACAGAAAAAAGATCCAGTAGTTCTGCTGAAAGGTGAGAAGTCAGGTATCTGAACATTTTATCAACAACTTGTGCAAACATAACCATGACTTTCTCGACTGAAAGTTCATCTAAATTCTTCTCTTGATCTCCAGTTAAGGCTGATCTCAAGAGCCATTCCCTGTGATACCCTGGCCTATAAAGCAGACCAATAGTATATTTAAATTATAGTTTGATTTCAATTTTTTTCTAGTAATCAGGGGACAGATTTTAGCCAAATTCAGACAATGACAACTGACCTCCTTAAGGACTCTGTATGGGTATCTGCGGTCATCGATTTTGTCATTCATTTTCCATCAAATCATCAGTTTTTCAGGGGACTGTTGCATACCAAAAATTATTTTGCAAAGTAAGGGTACTAGCAAGCCCAGCATAACCATAACAGTGACGGAAACAAGAAAACAAGCAAAACAAAAATTCTGAAATTGCAGCACACTTTCACGATATACATTGTCAAACTTGATTGAAATGGCATTGATCCTTGCTTCATCAATGACGATTGTCTTAACTTTGATTTCCTTGGAAATACCCAAACAGAGGCTCACATTATAAAGTGAAACATAATATAACCACCTAGAACATTGAACGAAGTAAATAAATGCAGCAAATACAAAAGAAGGCATAGATGGAAATATTTGAGAACTGTCCAGTCTAACAGTTTTTCAACATTTGCCTCTTTTTTGTTTTGTCTTTATGAGACAAATTACAGTGGAACCCCGCCTTATGGTCACCTTGTTATTACGGCCACTTTTTTTTGCCCTGCAAAACAGCCATACATCTCCTTACAAAAAAAAAAACCATTAATGCACTCGCCCGTTAATAGGGCCAACGGCCACATTTTAAAATCCCAAACAGAAGAATCTCTTATAATTTCACCCCGTTAATTACGGCCACTTGTTCCAAATAGTTTAGAACTCTGCAACTATTTTTCAGTTTTTAGACTACAGTACATCAAGTACACTTGTTGCGATTTATAGCTGAATTTTCAAAGTGTTTTATTTACTGAAAGAAAATTTTAAGTCGTTTTTTCAATTACTGTACGTGATATCTTCATTCTGGTTGTTTATTAATGCGAACAGTTGTTCATGAAATGCGAATGCGATGTACGGTGCACTTGTCATTACGGCCCTCAAGTCATGAAATTTGAGCCTGGCCAAATAACACTATGCGGGCAAAATTTTTTGACCCATTGGTGACCATACAGGGTTCCATTGTATTGTTGTCACAGAATTTAGATATTGTCATTAGGGTGTGGGATTGCGGAAAATTAAATTCAGTTCTTAAAAAACGAAGGATAAAAAACAAACAAAAGTGCTGTTTTGTTATTCTTTGCTTATTTTACTGAGATGCAAATGAGCATGAGCTGCTTTTCTGCAATCCTGCTGCATACCTCCTCCTTAAATACATTTATAGGCTGCACTTAAGCTAGCAGTTTAAGGCCAGTCTGGGTTCACAAATTGTTCAAACTTACACACTTTCTCTGTCTGTTTTCCCCTTATAATAACAACACATAAAACCACCAAGTTTCACCTGCAAACAAAAAAAAATGATAAACAGTCAGTCTCAAGCAAAGGGAACCAGTCACAATGTATCAAAAGTCTTGTATCCCATATATTGTTTGTTGTGCACTTTATCTACCTTTTCAGGTGAAGAGATGTACACAAAAGGTCCTATGACAGATGAATGTAATATGTTCTTTGCTTCTAGGTATTCTAGTGCTGATGAAAGCTGTGAGGCATAAAGCCAGGCATGAAAGAATGATGGAACAGGAAACTCCTCCAGGTTTCCATTACTGAATACTTCAACTACCTGATGGACAAAAAGGAGAGGACAACACAACATTATCATTTCTATTAGGATACCTTTGCATGCACAAAATAAGAGTGAGTTGCACATGGGCTGCTTTCAGCCCCATGATCCATGCTAATTATTTTTGAAGACATTCTTTGAAGTTCTTACTTTGAGCCTGTTGATAAAAACTGGCCATGTGATGAAAAAACAACCTCTTGAACAGCACTTTAAAAATTAGGCATTTTACAAAATTAATGTAGTTTAATACAATACTGGAATGTATATATCAGTTAGATCTCTCATCATGGTATGGCTACATAACATGTACATGTAGATCTTGTCTGCCCATCAGAAAACCCAAAAAGTGACTTTGGACAAAGGACAAAGATGGGAAGCAAAAAAAGGTTGGAGTGGTGTACAAAATTCCATGCAGCCAATGCAAAAAGGTATATATCGGTGAAACAGGGAGACAGCTGGGAAACAGGATCACAGAACACAGAAAAGAAGTAGAAAAGATCTCTGACAAAAATTTCACAAGATCCACCTGCAGAGCTTCTACCAATGAGCACCATAAATTAGCAATAACAGACCCCGTCTGTCAGAACAATCATATCATGAATTGGGAAGCAACTCAAATAGTTGAGCAGGAAAGCAACAAGTTTAAGCGATGGATCAAGGAAAGCATATGTATTAGATCGAACACTCCTACTATGAACAGGAACAAGGGAGCCTATCAGCTTTCTCCCATATGGACACAAGTGATCTCCACCCCCAAACCAGGGGGGAAGGGGGCATCTACAGAGTGACTTTGAGCATTTATCGCAATAATTAACACCTTCAGAAGCCACTTCTGACACTTTTAATGTTTTCCAAGTTTTGATAAAGATGGCTGACAGTCATCAAAACTGTCAGGATCATTAAGACGTTAAGACTGGCTATGTTTTGAGAACATCTAAATCGATATTAACTTCACTAGCCTGATGAATTTCTTCAAGAATTTTGAATTGAATCATTTGTGGGAGTTAAAAGGGGAATAGTAAAGTAAAACAGACTGACATAAAATATTGGTTACTTACCAGTCCAACAGAATGTGCATAGGGGCCAAGAATCACAGCTCCATAGAATTTCATTATGTACTCATGGTCAAGGCCACTCATTATTTTGGCTTCTCTTACAAACAATTCACGGTGTGTTGGACCAAGGTCACATCGCAGAACAACATCAATCTGTAAAAATATAACATATTACATGAACAAAGAGCAGATCTTGAGAAAAGGTGGTAGATAGAGTGCTGACCACTTGCTCATTTTCTAAAGTAGGATTTTCATACTTTGAGATAATGAAAAGAGGAAAAAAAGGTTCTGGAATATGCACTTTTTTACACTGGATAGAGCATACCAAAGGGGGGAATTTCATATATTCCATGATGCTTTGCGGCTAATTTCTGTCCTTTCTCCGCGGTGGAAAGAGCGTTCGAGAGTTTTGAGGGAGAGTTTTAACGACCAGAATTTCAAGATGCAGCTCATCCAAGGTAAGTTTCAATGAGCCCTGTTAATCTTTGGCATCTGATTGATAATGTAAAATGTTTCCAAGGTCATTTCACATTATTGCTCTCGTTTAAGACCCTGTTAAGCCATGCTGTTTTAACTCGCAAGTGAATATTCATTTAGATGACTTTCAACTTTCAAAAACTGTCTTTATTCTAGAAAGGTTTTACTCTAATAAATTATTTAAATCGGCAGGCAAGGGGTGCTTGATACTAGTTCCACGCTCCGACCTCTTTCGACCTCGCGATTTTTATGGGTTTGATCGTTTTGAAATATCGCATTTTCTGCCCTTTCTCCGCTAAGATGCAAGGCGAAGGTTTCAATTTCTTTATGCTAAGTCCTGCGAAGATGGAACATTTTTTCGTGAATTCGTTCCGTTTTTCGCTGATCAAAACACAAAATTTCCCATTAGGTTATGATGAGTGTTTAAATTCAATGGTTTGTATTATTATAAAGCTTTTTTGTCTCATTATTTTAGGTAAAATTGGTTTCTCATGGTGGCTTCCGGTCGCAACCGCGCGAGGGAAACTTGAAAAATGGCATGGAACAGCATGCCGTAGGACCTCAACCGGCGTATAAGACCTTTAAAAACATTTCGATAATTCTTTTAGGATCCATTGTAAAGAAGAAGTGGGTGGTTTTGTATTTCTTAATAAAGCTTTTTTCTGTTTATGTTTGACAAATGCTTAGCTGGTGTTGTGTTACGAAAAATGTAGAGATGCTTTTGTTATTTTTATTGTTTGTTGGAGCTATTCCCTTCCTTTGAATTTTATCTCTGATAGATGTCACTTTGAACTTTAACGATCTCGCTATTTTCGACTGCATAAGCAGCATAAGCCGAGCTTGTTGAAGTATAAAAAGCATGTGCGATCAACAAACGGTTGATGTACTGCATCGATGAATTATTGAACTGACAATATGAGCACTGCGATCACAAACAAGCAACAGTGGGAAATCTCACACCTAGAATATGTATTTATTTCAAGACAAGTACGTGGAAATTTGCTTGTTAATCGATGGAGGGCTTTATCAACGCACGTTAATACAGGACGTACAGAAGCAAAGACCTTCCTCGCTAGCTTCTAAAAACATTTGCGTGGACTGCCTTGCGATCGTAAGGCTCAGTTGAATAATCAGCGGCCAAAACACTCTCTTTGACTTCACAAGAGATATATTTGGAATAGTAGAACGAAAATCGTAAGTGGATTGACACAGCAAAGGTACAGAAGGTTTTATTGGCAAAAACAAGTCGCTGTCCACCGTTGTTCAACTGTTGCATCCCTGTTGAACTGATAGGATCACGTGCATTCAGAAGCTTGATAATATAGTATGAAGCGATGCATCATGGGATATATGAAATTCCCCCCTTTGAGCATACCAGTACATGTAGCATGTCTAGATTGATTGCAATTGAAGAAGCCTGTATTTTGCATATTGACTTTCTTTGTTCTGTGTCCTTTGAATTAGCTTAACAAAAACATAGGTAACTTTAAACCAAAGGAAAAATCACTGAGCATAGTCATGTAAAGGTGTGATGTAATAAAAAGAGAAAAAATTCCTTCACAAACAACCTTAGTATTATCATCTTGAGTCCATTGAGCATTATACACATCACCAGAATATGGCTTTCCAAGGGCAATTTTGCTTTGTAAAGAAATGTGATCTTTTGGTATTATGTGAACTCCACCATCTTCCAACTGCTCTTTGTATGTGTTCTTTTGAATTTTCTGAAAAGATCCACAAAATTACAGTGTTGTAGTCAGTTTTAAATACCATTGCATAATTAAAATTGTTTGATTAAGTTAACACACATGTATTTAGTTGAAACAAAGCGAAGCATTCTATATTTGCCAACCAATAAGTTCAGTGGGTGCACTATGCTAGTCTCCTTTGTTAGAGGTTGCAAAATCAAAGGCCTGCCAGACTTTTGAAGAACTGTTAAAGATTGAAACTCCCATGAATAGCAATAAAGGCAACCCTACTGACTGCAACCTCTCCCAAAAGGCCACATTTTTATCCAGGCAGATAGTCATGCATTCACTCATCATCTCCACGACAACAACAGGGAGTAGTAATCACTCAAGAGCACATAAACACAATGAAACAAGACGCTGTGGGAGCATGTATTTGGGCATCATTGCACTAGGGGTATGTGAAGTCTTTTATATGTACAGTTGTACAGCAGCCAGCTCTAGTTACGACCTTATTTGTGATACCCCTATTGAACTGTGACTTAAACCTTGTAATGAAAAGCTCTTGTAAGCAAAGGCTCCCATAAGTGATCACGACCACTTTTGGGATTACCCAACCAGACTTTTCTTTTGTTTTTAAGCTCTTGTAAACTACCACTCAGCAGCCACTCAGTCTTTCTCATATAAATCAACACTTTAATGAAACTGCACACCGCACAAATGGTCTAAAAATTTGCATGTGAATTTTAGCCGTGTTTATATCAGATGTCAAGACACTCATTGAACATTTTATTAATATGGAGAAGGGGGTAAGAAGATGTTTGGAGGGGGGCTGAAATTTTGGGTGTGCCGTTTCGGGAGGCTTTGAAAAATCGGTGAGGTCAAGGGGGAGAAAACAAAATCTGGCTATAAAACTAAGGGCCAGATTACATGACCCGCACCAGCTTGCTTTGCAGAGATCGCAGCACCTTAGTCATAAACACAACAAAAATCAACTTTGCGATTACTTGACAACCGAGCCAGCCAGGTTAGCTGGGACCCCAGTATTGAAATGCCGGGATCCTGGCTGGAAATTTTCCATGTAATCACGCTTACTAGACAGCCCGGCAAATGAACCAGGCGAGAACAGGACAGTGGGTAACACACTGCTCATTCGCACTGCTTCCAGACTCTATATAAAAATGGTAGCTCCGGGCTGGCTAGCTCCATGTAATACCGAGATAAAAGCACCTCGGCAGAGCTAGCCAGCCCGAAAGCCTGGCTGATGCAATTAGGCCCTTACTGTGAGTTGTATTGCCATGCAGTTGCAAGTGAAGGCTTTGGAATTTGGTGCTTTCGGGGTTCGTGTATGAGAGAATACGACTTAATCTAATTAACCAAAGGGTTTTAAAAATAACTGTCACACAGGCAGTTTGCATGTGAAGGTGTTGGACTTTGCCATTTTTACAGTTTGAACGTGAAAGAATGCAACTTTTTAACGAGAACATTTTGCTCCATGAAATTTTAAAAATCACCTCCTTTTCGAACATCTGCAATATATGAAATTATGCATCATTCAACTGTTAAGATTAATAGGCTAACATTAATTAGTTCCAATAAAATTATCATACTGCCAAGATACTTAATATGTTGCCACTCATTGCATGTCATTCCCCTCATTGAAACAATTCCTAATTTATCTCATGCATCATCACTGAATTTTGCATGACATTTTCTTTGGCTCTCAACAATTGAGGGCAAAAATATTGTCAAACTGTTGGCTATAAGCCAAACCCGTCAATTCCAATTATTTTCAACAGATTTTCCTTCAAATTTCAGAAAATCACCCGGCTTCAGGGTGAGATAAAAATACTGTCAGCCGATATCTGTTTTTATTATTATTATCCCTGAGTTGCTTTAACATGTTTATCTCTTTTAATTTCTTTGTCCCTGCACTGTTAGGAGTTGTGTTTCTTTGTTGCAGGGTTTTTGAGATCGTAAAAGTGGGCTCAAGCACCCTTTTAGCAAAGCTTTCTTTCTGGCATGCCTTTTACCTTATTGTACGAGTCATTCATGTGGCAAACATTCACGTCACTTACCTTGTTTACATTCACACGTTTTGCGTGCCCATTGCCACTTTGAATCAAAACAAGCGATCTCAATTACTCTATTTGGGCAATGCCCAAATAATAATTATTCATACTTACTAATTAATACTTATTAACTTATATTAATAATTAATATTGCACTATTAATACAAATGAACCTCCCATAAATTAAATGATCACAAAAAAATGCGAAGATTAATAGTTGTCGCATATGAGAGGTGCTCGCTTATGAGAATGGAACCACAGGGAGTCTCTTCCGAAAAGCGGCCCAGACACATCTACTACATGGAAGATAATCAGTTGCAGGCAATTATTGTTAAGTTGTGATGTTATATGTACTTCCATGTTGTCACTAAAAGTTCTTCTTATACTCTAAGTAGCATAATACATACATGTAGTACATACATTGAACATACATGTAGAGATCAGTAGACCATGCATCAAGTGGTTGCTCACAAGAGGTTAAAAACAATGAAAAATCAATAAACCGTCAGCCCGAAAATGTGGTTGCAGTTGCTTACAAGAGGTGGTCATTTATGAGAGGTTCCAGCTCGGAAAAAAACTTGGTGTTTTGGATACATCTGTAGGTGGTCGCTTATGGGAGGTGGTCACACATGGAGGTTTGACTGCAGTTTTAAAAAACTAAGGTGTTCTATTTAAAAAGGACTCAAAATGCAGCAGATATAATCCACTGACTTTCCTTCTCTGATACATTTCATAGGTTTTTGTCATGTTCTAAAACATGGTACGACAGTTGTACCTAATTTTCTTAAGTAAATAAAAATATAATATTTTAATAATTTTAACAGTTTTAAAATATTAAGGTGTTCTATTTTTAATGGACTTGTAATGCAGATAATCCATTGATAACCCTTCTTTGATACATCTTATATGTTCTTGTCATGTTCTAAAACATCACACAATGGCTGTGCTTACATGTAATTCCCTTTATTGGCTTGTAAGATTTTGATTCACTCTCAAAATGGTTGCCATTAATAAAGGAAATCTATCATCCAAAAACTCAAAAGTATATAGTATTTTGACTTGCAAACAAAGTAAGTGAAAAATAAAAGGAATAATAATCATATTAATGAAAATTGTTCTGATTATAGTCAATGATCAATCAGTTGGGTCAATCTGATTATTTCTCATGATCAATTATGAAATCTCAGCCAATTACCAATACTTTAACAGTGAGTTGTAAAGAGGTGGCCAATAAGCTAGGGGGAAGTTGAATGTTCTCCCCATGACGACCACCTCTCTCACTTACAACTGACTATAATTTCCACACTGGCATGCAAAATTATCAAGAGAATTGTTGAACTCTTGTTTAGCAATAAGCCTTTCTCTGATTGATGGCTTCCACACATCTCCCATAAACATGTCCAGCCTTTCATCAGTTACCACTTTTTTCCTCACATCGCCAGTACCAGAAAAATAGCAAACCTCAGTACTTTTCTGAATTTCAATCTTTTAAAAAATCTATAGGATGAAAGTTGGGGTGCAGCTTCAGGGCTGTCATTAAGAGCCAGGGGGCAAAGATTCCCCATGAATGTGGACCCCGGCTACTTTCATAGGAAAATAGAAGAAAAATAGAACCAAAATAAATCACTAGCTGTTTGATTCCCACCCACTTGTTGGACTACCCTGGCAACTTGAAATCTAAGTGACAGCCCTGCAGCTTACCCATGACTGTTTACGGTAATTCAATTAATAATTCTATAGTGTCCCAAACTGCAAAATAACTTACCAGAATATATGGTAAGTCTTCAAATTTCACAGTCTTGGAATCTTTGATCATTTTTTCTATTTCTTCTATATCATGGCTGAATGATGACTCTGATGCCCAGCTTGGCACTTTAGACTTCAATTCTGTCAAGTTTGTTTTCACTCGATTCTCCAGGTCTTCAATGGAAGTCACATCAGCAACAAAGCAAAAGTGGTTGAACAGACGAGTTAGTTTCCACTTTGACATCAAAAGGTATAGCTTGTCATAGCCATTGAGCTGTAGGTCATTCCAAAATAGATGTTGCAGTTAATTTTCTTGTCAGTATAATTAAAATCCCAACCAGGCAATATTGAAAGCACATATTATATAAACACCAATGAAATACCAAGTGAGCTTTCGTGTAAAAACTTGATATCTTCACATGTGAAAATATCACCATTGCTATGGCTTCATAATAAACCACACTTTTCAGACCAAAAAACTTTTTAAGTAAAATGGTTTGGCATTTCATTGGTGTTTATATAATAAATAGAATATTACATGGTCACTTGGAGATACAAAATATTTATTTATCCTCTGTTTATTTTAGTGTAGGTATTAATATATTGCAACTTGTCTTCTATGGCAAAGGATGAGAAATGGAGTGGAAAATAAGATTAATAAAGATTAATGAAATAAAAATAACATTCCACTACTTTTTAGGTAGTTGAAAAAAGATACCTAATTAAACCGTTTACAACAACTTAGACAAAATTATTACAGCTTTATTCTCGTTATTTACTTGAAAATAAACACCACATTTTATGAAAACATTTAATGTACGCACCTGACCATCTATATGATTGTATCATATTGGAATCTATTTTGTTTCTACATAGTAACTAATTTCCAGATGTTTTGGAATTATAAAACAATCTTTTCATGTACCGAACTTAAAACCTATTTAGGTCATGGGCACCTATGAGAGGACAGCAGAATGGCAGTGTTATGGAAATCCATTATCATTGAGTTATTCGCAATTTCTAACGCCACTCTATGGTCACCTGCTTAATACGGACACCCATATAAAACGAGCAGTGTTGTTTGTCCCCACAAAAAGCTCACCAGGCGGATCGAGTCACAAAATAAAAGCGTCGGTACAAAAGTAACATCACAGATTTTCAATTGTGTTTCACAACAAATTAATACTTGAAAGGTAGATTTACTTTGAGACTATGATAAATGATAGTGACTTTTCATTAGTATGAATGAATTTCAGTAATTGCCTAGCAGTGGTGCCATGTCTCAGCAGACAGATTTTACAGCAGCTTTGAATACTGTGACATTTGCAATTTTTATTTTAATGGCCATGAACAGCTGCAGCTCCTTTCCTTAAGGGTAAAGAACTGTTTCTCGTCAGATCTTGGGTCATCTTAAGTGTTGAAGAGGAACCACGGGAACAATTCTACGCTTAGCAGAATGACAACTTATGGAAAGAAGAAGTTGAGGAATTCTCTAAGTGACTGTACCCAGTCACAACCACTTTTCAACCAAAAATGGTCTCCGTTACAACAATGATAAGAATAAAAAATGAGCTTAGTTAAGACTGGTTTGAACTATTATTGAAAGATTTATGTTCTGTAAAATCTGCATTTTGGAGAAAATTGTAGCTGACATAATCTTCATCTGTACTTTCCTCTTCTATGTACGAAAAATTGATGCTCAGATTTCAATAGCAACAATGATTACACAAAAAGAGGGTGGTCTGCCTGTGCTTTGGTTTCTTGTTGCTCAATATGATACCCATCTCAGCTCTAAGAAGGGGGAATTCTTATCTTTGATTGCCCTGTATCCCCATCAAGGAGGGGGGGGAGGAGATTAAAATCTTTGACAGGGTCCTACAAATTTAAGTCCCTCCCCTGCCCAGGCCCTCCCCAGTTACCAATAGTTTCGATAAAAAGTCGTTTTGATGCCAGTTTATTCAGTCCAGGTGTACATATTTTTTTATACAATGTGCTTGGCTTAAAGAACGAAGAAGATTCATGTACCTGCCAAGTGTCATGACTAAGGCATGACTGTCATGCCTACCCATGCCTTTGTTCTAATTTTTCATGCCAGGTAGAAACGTTTGAGCCATTACAGCATGACACATGTTGGAAAATATATTAACCTATTCGCCCCTAAACCCCCTGTAACCGCCCGGACGGATCCACGTCCTTTCTACCCTTTGTGATGTCATCAGTTTTAACGGTCAAGGACAACTTTGTCCGCTAACTTGTGCAGAGTGAAGAGATCTTTCAAACCATAACAGAATGAGCACAATTCAGTCAAGGACACTGGAGAAAGAAGCAAAAAACCATGTGACATTGACCTGAAAATCTCCATGAAAATCTTGTTCCATTGCTCACCTACCTTTCCTTTCACCTAATCCTAAGATCCTAAAAGCTTTCCTAAAAACTCTTCCCACAAAAATGAAGCCTACTAAAATGCCCAGCAGGAGAAAAAAAATTGAGGCAAGAAAAGCGAAAAAAGAGGGGAGGAGTGAAAGCGAAAAGTAAAAGTCAAGACTGCTGTGTCACTTTTAACCCAAAAACTATCTTGAAATTTTGCTTTCTGCGCATGCCCGAACTTTGCAAGCTAATATTTTGCATCTGGATCAGAAGGCCGTGAAGTGGAAAACCTGTAAACCGGTTTGTGGTAAGTTTTAGCTCTTTATACCAGTGACCAGAAAACCACTCGACTAGTTTCAAAACGCGTTTTTCAGCAAAATCTCCAGGAGCGAATGGGTTAATATCATTTTGAAAAACTGGAACCAATGAGAAAAAAGAAAAGTCCATGTCAATGATAGACTTTTCATGTTAGACAGAACTCCTCGAATGCCTTTGGACATCTTCGGATATTTTCAGAACCCTATGAAAAATCCTAGCACTCTCAGGATAAAACTGTCATGCCTATAATTTAAAAAAAGCTGGCAGGCATACATTCACCCCAAATATTTTTCTTGTTGACACACAAACTATAATTGAAGTGATCAAAATTTTTGTGTAATTTCAGTGCTTGAGGTCTTATCGAAACAATCTAAACAACCGGTTTCTGTCCCTCACCAGGGGAGACCGATGGCAGATGATCGGTGCATAATCACATGGTAATCGCAGTTTAGAATTGTAAATATTAAGTAGTTACACTAGATAGGTCTACATAATATAGCACAAGTAGCTTTACATCGGCCAACTAGCTGCCTTCTCCTGTTATATACATACAGTTAAGCCTACTTTTAATATCAAATAATTAATATATTAATATATACTACAAAACTAGATCCGTGAATGGACAGCTAGCATGGGAGAAAAACAAACGCAAGCTTCATTGCGGCGGGAAGGGCATGTATGACCGCATGACAGCCGCTAAGATAGAGAGAGTTATTTAGCCACGCTCCAGGAATGTGCCATCAGCTTTACAAGCCAATCCCTCCCACTCCATAGGCAGTTATGATTTCCTTGATTTGTATCTTAGAATTTAATTTATGGGCCTAGGTTTTCAACCAGGTTACAATTAGTTAGTATTACCATTTAATGTAAATAAGTAATTATAATGCTACAATAAAACTGCCTGAACCCAACCGTGTTACAAGCCTGTTCAGTGGGGTTTAGTTTGTTGTTGCGCTTCACAGTCATAATAAAAGTTCAGTTATAACCAAATGTTGAGTAGATAACTTCATCTTACCTCTTCTGTCGTCCTGGTCTCCATGAGATTGAGGCACAAATGATATATATATAAACAAACAATCGAATGCTCGCCTTAAAGTTTTAACACTTGTCAAAAAAAAGTTGAAAGCTCGCGGCCTCGTGTCCTCACGACACAGTGATATGGCGCCCTTTTAACCATAACAAGCAACCTCATTATTATCACACAGTTTAAGGAGTATCTTCGTTTTAAAACGCAGGTTCAGATCAGGGCTGGATCACTGCTTTACGATTTTCAGAGAAAGAAGCCAAGAAATATTAAAACGTTCTGCTAGCGTAGCGTGTGGACCTCGTTTCGAGTGCATAGATTACCCATAAAGCATAGCAAGTGTGTTGACCATCATGGCGGAACTGTTCCTTGACCCAGCCATCCGTCTGTGGGTTATTTTACCCATTGTGATCATCACTTTTCTCGTAGGAATAATCAGACATTATCTCTCAATGCTTCTGCAGTCTAAGAAGGAATTAGATCTTTCACAAGTTTCTGACAGGTAAGTCCAGGATCCAGGGGAAGCAAAAGATACCACTGATAAAAAGACATTGTAGTCGACCTCAGAAAGTTACCATAGCCTCTCTCCATTTTTGAAACACTTGTCACTTACGCCCTCCCCAATGTTGATTCACGTATTGCCCATTTTGCGAAAAAAAGCGAATCTCAACGCTGGGGAAGGACAAAAGAAATACATGCACAGGTAAAATTTAGTTGAGTCAGTTGAGAAGGTGTCATGAAAAATGCAAGTTTTGATATTAGGGGTACATTCGAGACTTTGCGAGAGTGGAGACCCTGGTTAAAAATTCGAGACCGAGACTTAGGCTTTTTTTTATCCAATCGAAGACCAAGACTTTACTTCTGAAAATCCGAGTACAAGACTCTAGGTGCTAAAGATTTCGAAGTATAATGGTACTAATAAAGTTCTTAGCCCTTGTCTGTAAAGATCATGGCTAAAAATAAGTGGAGTGGCAATGAATATCTGCAGCAATGAATATTTGCTGAGTCAATTAGCGTAAATGTTTAAGATACCAGTAGTTCCCATTCATCAGTGTCATGTTAGTTATTTACCACTAGTAACGGTAATATATTCAGCATCTGTAATTCATGGTATTTAAACTTACTTTGCCCTAATTATAAATGCAAGATTCCAAAACGAGTCAATTTTTAGCGAGCCCAAGATTTGGAGACACTTATTTTAAATGCTGAAATTTCGAGACAGGCCAAAATTTTCCGAAACCCACATCTTTCGAGGTACCATCCTATATCCCTAATGTTATTAGTCCAGGGCCGGGTTGCTCAAAGATGGGTTAAGATAACCCTGGGTTATTGCCAAAATTATTTGAATTCAGATATACAAACTTAAAAGCAGATTCAGTTTTATTCCTTTTTTCTGTAATTTGATAATTGGATGTGCTAATTAAAAATAATACAGGGTCTGGAAGGGTGTTCTCGGGATCTGGAGTTTGACCAAAATACGGAGCGGGATTTGGAAAAAGGCAAAATATCTTGACAGGAAATGGGATTTGACTCCTTCCTGGAAAATGGGATTCACTGAAACTTGGGCCACGATGCGGGATTTTTATTTTTGCTTGTCTATCGGGAATTTGGCAAATTGTACATTCTAGCGGCAAATGTGAAGTCAAACAGCCAAGCTTTCAGTGGTTTCTCCATGAAAGAAAACTACAGATTGACGTAGGTAATGATTGCTAATGAGAAGCCCTGCAAGACACAAGGCCGTGAGGTGTCAACATAATAAATCCGCGCACGAAAGTTCCAAGGCAGAATGAATCTCAAAGCGATGAACATAAGGTACCGTAAGGCAACTTCTATGACGAAATGCAGAACAGAGAATATAAGAAAAATATGCTTTGTCAAGTCAGTATTTCAAATTCTTTATGCAGTAGAACAGTTTAGTTCACCATTTTCAAGGTAATTTTTGGTCATGCAAACGAATTAAGTTCAAAATATTTTACCCAAATACACTGCCTGTTTATGCCGTTAAGAAAAAATAATTACGCCGCAAAATTCATGGTGTCTTTGAAGCAAAATAATTTGGAAGGCTTCATTGGTGCACCATAAATCTTTTTTTCCTGAAAAGTAGACATCCTAAGCTTATTTAAAAAGAGACCAAGTATAAATCTGTACGTTGAATATTCATGGACGTACTGTCAATTTTTCAAGGATTCTGAGTTTGCTTATTAATTTTAAGACCACTAAATTTTACACAAAATGACCTTTGGACAAAAACACTAACTTCAGTATCTCGAAAAATGTGCTATGTAAAGTCGGGTTCTCAAATTCTTTGTGCAGTAGAAGAGTTTAGTTCACTATTTTCAAGGTTATTTTCGCTTATGCAATCGAAGTGAGTTCAAACTATTTTTCACAAAGACACTGGCTGTTTATGCCACTGGGAAAAAACTATAATGCCAGGAAAATTACTGTGTCTTTCAAGACAAATAGTTCAGAAGACTTCATCAGCACACCATAATTTTTTTTTTGCTGAAAAGTAGACTTCCTAAGCTTTAAAAAGAGACCAATTATAAATCTGTACATCAGTCTTTTTAAAATTGTTTATGTGTAGTTACATTCATGGTTTGGTTTATTGATTATTTTCCAAAAGTACTCTTGCATCTTGGTTCGCTAGGTTTCCATCCTTATATCGGTGAACTGAGTATCGTTAAATCAGGATTCTGCTCCATACAATGTACAGTAACTTTGCTGGGACATAAAATGTTGATCATTAAATCAGGAATATAGTTAAATGTCAATGATTGTAAAATTGGGGTTCCACTACAATTTAATATTGTGACATACATGTATTTATTATAGTGGTGTGATCAATCATCTTTGTTGTCAGGTCCAATCTCAGTCAGCTTCTGTTGAGTGCCATCCACATTATAGTAATTTAATATAATACTCTGCAATACTGCCGCCAGTATACTATGAATAATGTTAATTATATTTGTCTTTCTGTTTTATTTTCAGTCAAGCATTATTGAGAAGCAGAAATCTAAGAGAGAATGCAAAATATATCCCTTATGAGGTATTTTCAGGCTGTTAAGGAAGATTTTCAAAATTTGATTTATAGATCCAGCCTCACTAAACTGCATGGCAGTGGAAAATTTATAAATCAAGGCAATTATAATGTGCACCCTCTCGTTGCCCCTCCTCCCTCCTTCTGACTCAGCATAAGCAAAATTGTGACTGAGAACTTATAGTTAGACAATGTTCAAGGTCTAAGCCAATGAGCAGAATTGTACAATGCTAACAATAAGCTATGTATCACAGCAAAGGAGACATGAAAGTAACATTCACTGGTTTAGCCATTCAGAATAGGCAAACGTATTCACCTACAGACAGTGAAGACAAAATTAATGATACTAGGTAACTAATGATAAACACCTAACAATGATACAGTGACAGGTCTAAAGTACATCACGCAGAGATGCCCACAGGGTTGATAGCTGCCTCGAAGCTGCCAACCGTGCAGCCTGACCTTTAATATCAACACCACAAATCACTAGTATTACAGCACAAAAAAATATAGCTACAAAACAGCTGACAGGAAACTGAGACTAGATACAAGAACAACCAGATCTATAGCACCACTTTAAATCCAGTGGCAAAACAGTAGTACACTGTTCATGCTGTGCTGCTGTTAGGCTAATAGGGTTTTGTGAAAGCAATCAAGTTTTGTTATAACTTGTCTCATTTAAGAAATTCTAGCAATTCATATGTTATCGACCCAATTGAAAAATGGCTGTTGGATTATAATATTCTTTTGTTTAAATTAAAACTAGCCTGACTAGCCTCTCTTGAGATAATGTATTCTTTCGAATTTTGTACTTAAGAATGAGGCTGGTAAAGCTAATTTTAATTTAAACAAAAGAATATTAACCCATTCGCTCCTGGAGATTTTGCCGAAAAACGCGTTTTGAAGCTAGTCGAGTGGTTTTCTGGTCACTGTCGTGCTATAAAGAGCTAAAACTTACCTCAAACCGGTTTACAGGTCGTACACTTGATGGCCTTCTGATCCAGATGCAAAATATCAGCTTGCAAAGTTCGGGCATGCGCAGAAAGCAAAATTTCGACATAGTTTTTGGGTTTAAAAGTGACACAGCAGTCTTGACTTTTACTTTTCGCTTTCTCTCCTCCCCTTTTTTTTTGCTTTTCTTGCCTCATTTTTTTTTTCTCTTGCTGGGCATTTAGTAGGCTTCATTTTGGTGGGAATAGTTTTTAGGAAAGCTTTAAGGATCTTAGGATTAGGTGAAAGGAAAGGTAGGTGGGCAATGGAACAAGATTTTCATGGAGATTTTCAGGTCAATTTTACATGGTTTTTTGCCTCTTTCTCCGGTGTCCTTGACTGAATTGTGCTCATTCTGGTATGGTTTGAAAGATCTCTTCACTCTGCACAAGTTAGCGGAAAAAGTTGTCCTTGACCGTTAAAACTGATGACGTCACAAAGGGTAGAAAGGACGTGGATCTGCACGGGCGGTTACGGGCGGTTCAGGGGCGAATGGGTTAATCCAGCAGCCACTTTTGTATTGGGTCTACAAAGCTAATCCCACGCAGGGTTCTCCAGAGGCTCCAGCAACTAGTGAAAATTGCCATGTAAACATTCTTGGGATCTGCTTCAGATGAAGACCAGAAAAATCAATGACTCAACCAGCTAGCTTCAAACAGAGATTTTTGGCAAAATCTCCTGGGAAGGATGGGTCATGTTTTACATTTACACCTGTAGTTAACTTTTACATTAATTAATCAGTTTCTCTTAAATGATTTGTGAATGCAGCCGCTTTTGTAAAGTGTAACATAACATTTGCTATTTGTTAACAGTCATTTGAGGCAAGAAGACATTTCTTCAATGATGAAAAAGAAGGATATTTTAAGACACAGGACAAAAAGGGACCAGTGAAGAATCCCATATCAGGTTGGAATGTCTTCCTTTGTTTGTAAAATTATGAAGAACTTAATTTTCTTGCTGTTGGTTTTGCTTGTGATGTCATTAACCTGCTTCAAAAGCTTTTTACTTTCGCAAAAAAGGTTTTTTTCTCAGTACACTCATTCAAATGTCAAAATGAGGTCTGTTCTAATTTTATACTGTTGCTACATTCAAGGATCTTCTTCTTCAATGATAAAAAATAAAAAAACTGTCTGTTGATAAAATATAGTTTGAACAAGATCTTTCTATAGGATTAACGGGGCAAGGCCTATGTACTAAAATCAAATAAACATCATTTCAACACAGGTAGTCCTCTTTTAACAGCTGTTATTTATTGTAAGATCACTTCAAAGAGGACAGATGGCAAATTGTTGCTGCTCAAAATATCTATCAGTCGTAACTGTTTATCAGTAGGATGCCTAAAATGTGTACAATTCCACAATTGGTTTGAGCCCCATTTAATCCTATACTTACTGTAGAACATTTTATAAGGAGCCACCCAGAATGTGAACACAGGTACCGTATTTATTTGATTAAACGCCATAGATGGAGCAAAACGACCAATAAACACCGCACCTCATCAGAAGAATGCGGCATTTATTTGAGGATAATAAGAAAAACCTCGCTACAACTTGGTAATTTACACCATCCAGACATTTAAAATAATAGAGACATTGGGACCTTTCAATTACATAGTATTCCCAAACGATTTAGTACAGTTGTCAGTGATTTAATAAAAGTGATTTCGAAATAAATGCCGCCCTTGAATAAACGCCACATCAGAAACGTTTAATTGAATAAATATGGTACTGACAAAGTTTATGGGAAGGAAAACAATGCCAAGAAAATGTAATGCATTAAATAATGAACTAAATGCACATGTCATTTAAATAAGTAAATAAAGTACACAACCTTCGCCCACTGAAAGGATACTAAAATGATTAAATTAACAAAGGATATGGCATCACTGTCTAGCCATTGAATGCGAGTCTTATCTCCGGCAGTGTAGTTTTATACGTCTCAATGATAACCCCATGGCGCTTGAAGAATTTGTTAAAGGATTTGAGAAGTAGAATGGATTTGACGTGCAGCATGTATTGCCATGAAAACCAAAACATTGAATTAAGACACATAGAAGAACTTTTACATGCATGACCTGTCAACTGTCACAAACCACTTTCATGGAGTTCATGAGATTATGCCTGTCTGTAGCAAAACCTTCTGATAGCAAAATCACTCCCACCCATTATAACTTTTCTTGACTGCAAGTAGAAACTCGAGGTTCTGGTAAATGTGTCTCCATAGGGGAATTGTTTCAAATCATGCAATTATAATGCTGACACCCACTCCAAAAGTATTTTTGAAGTATTCCTAACGATACTTTCCTTATCACAGATCCGTCAATGATGGTGGACATGGCTAAAGGAAATATCACAAATGTCTTACCAATGATTCTTATTGGTGGCTGGATCAACTGGCATTACTCTGGTTTCATCACAAGTAAGTTATTTGATGTCAGCTGTTTTGCAGTAGTAAGCAGGTCAAGAGAGCACTATCTGTAGTAAATGTGTAGAAAATGACTGTGTAGTTTTTTGGGGTTTTGTTAAGTAATTACAAGCCTCAGTTCTATGTTTATTAGCATGCAGATGTTTCTGGACTTATGGCTGATACTTAAGTACAGTCTTGCTGACACTTGGTATCTTGGCTGATACTTAGTTACAGTCTGGACCTTGGCTGCACTTAGCTACAGTCAAACTTCCAATAAGGGACCACCCAAAATGAGAAGATTTAGTAGTCACTTATAGGAGGTGGTTGTGTGCGAGAGTTGACAAACAAGGGGTCTCTTCGGAGAAGAGGTCCCAACACAACTAATTTTTGGAATACAATTTAGTGCATGCAATAGGACAATAATGCACAATGACTTCATTTTACTACAACTACCGGAATTTTTTAGTTTGTTGTTTTCTTGTGCAAATAAGGGCTGTTGTATTTTAATCGTTTAATGGAATTGTCAAAGTTAATTAAGGAAGCATCGCAAAAATGGCCTGTTTCTAAGGGAGTAATTACATGAGACCAGGATGAACTTGGACCGGTATGAGTTCGTATCGCTCTCCATACATTCTTTTTATGCATTTACGTGGGACTGGCCTAAAAATGAACTCAGAGCGGTCTGACTTCGTGTCGGTCTCTGACCTGACACAAGTTATTTTTGTACTGGTCTGAGACTATACCGTTCTCATGTAAAACGGAAATGAATCTCAGACTGGGTCCATAAATAACATGTTTCTTCATATGGCTCCATCATTTTTGTTTTTTTTAGCAAATTAAGAACGCTGCTATGAATAACTGTAAACAAGACTTGGAAGTGGCTTCAATTGTATTATGCTTCGGTTAATGTGAGGGATTGGACCAATTTTGAGATGCTGTGCATTTGCCACCAGATGAACATTAGATAAAGTTTACAATTTATTATTTTCTGGGAGCTGTGAAATCTGTGGTTCTCTCCTTACTGTCTTAATTGGCATAAATTGTGTACCAGTTAGGGCAGTTAGTGAATAATATGTTGAATAATCGACTTAAGAAAGTTATATAGCTACAAGAATCTCCTGTTTTTGAGTTTGTATCAGTCTCATGTAATCAATGAAGCGTTTTGTCCCGGTCTCATGTAAACAACTGCAAAAATTACAGATTCATACCAGCCCGAGTTCGTCCCGGTCTCATGTAATTACCCCCTAAGTTATGTTTAAGAATAGTTTCATGCTGTTCTTGTTATTACCTAAACACTGTAGTACAGCAGAGACCACATCATGTGTCAAGTGATCACTCCGAGAGGTTAAAAACAATGGAAAATAATCAAACTGTCAGATCAGTAAAGTGGTTGTGGCCGCTTATGAGGAGGTGGTTGTTTACAAGAGGTTCTGATTATAGGGATTTGACTGGGAAAATATTGGTGTTTTGAAAAAGTGGCCGCTTGTGGGAGGAGGTTGCTTACAAGAGATGGTCACACATGGAGGTTTTCCCGCAGCCCAAAAATTAATTTCATTTTACTTTACTTGTAGCCAAAGTTCCATTTCCACTAACTTTGCGGTTCAAAGCCATGCTGCAGAGAGGAATTGATCTTACAACTCTGGATGCTTCATGGTATGCTGTTTAGACATTGTATCACCATTTTCAGCAGTAATTTTAATTTTACTGCCATTCTCTCTTGATTTTAAGTGAAATGGTTATTAGGAAAATTCCATGTTGAAATCGTGTACACCCAACTACACTGTATCTGTTTTGTGAAAATTATTCCTGTGAGAAATGCTCAGTGCATCTTCCTAAGATTTTTTGACTACATTTAAGCCATTCTCACCTTGACTGCACATAAGTGCCCATGGTACTTGTAGAGTGCTGTGCTGCATACCAGTGAGTTGCAAATGATGGAATAGACAATAATAATTTCTGACCCATCACTTTTCCATCATTTGCAACTCACTGCTATGTGGCACAGCATTCTTTACGTACCATGGGTACTTATGGGCAGTCAAGGTGAGAATGGGTTAAATGCAGTGAAACTTCAAGGGCAAAAAAACCCATAATCCCCACTGAGAGTTAACCCAAGTAAAGGGAATTAGAGGACAACATGAGACAAGGAAAAATTTTTTGACCTCCATAGGATTCACTCCTGCAACCTCAACATTAGAACATTGTAGAGAGTTCTTTGGTTTCTATTGCACTTGTGTTTCCTATGAAAGTAGTTGGGGGCACAACAATGCTTATAGTAGCTGGGGGAAATCCCCGGCTCCTGCCTCTTAGTGACAGCCCTGCCGCTGCTGACTTGTACACTTGTGTAAAGAGATTTATCTAAAAGTATGGAATATGTTTCATGTTCTCTGGTGTATTTTGTGTTTCAGGGTTAGTTCAGTGTCTTGGTATTTCATTAATGTGTTTGGACTGAGGAGCATGTATGCATTGGTGTTGGGTCAAGATAATGGTGTGTACTTTTTATCTTAATGGTGTCGTTAAGTCATTTCCTTACATTGCATATAAAAGGCACTAATTACTGCAATAGTCATTTTAGGTAGACGTGATCTGAAAAAAAAGCCTTGATACAGTTCACACAAACACTTGGTAGTTATGCGGAATTCAAAATACCACTCCCAAGTTGTTGTTGCTGTTGGCATCCATCTGTCTCGGGAGACTGTGGAATCAGTGCCAAGGTTTAGTCAGTGGTTGAGTTGCAGCACCTGCTGTGGCTGTACAGTCTGATTCTGGATCGACAGGCTTTGTTGCAGTTGTTAGCTCTTTTGCTACTGATGCTGCTCTCAGCCGCCTGCACTCTCTCCCCTCTCCTCACTTGCCTGAGTACCTGCCTTAACAGCAAGGCTCCAGTGACTTCGAGTAGAGTAGTGCCTCAAGATCCCCATTTAGGGTGTGTCAAACTGAGCCCATTTATTTTTAACAGCAAAAACAGTCTGACCCCTAAGCAGTCAGCAGCCCAGCGTACTACATCATGGCTTAAGATCCAGTCCTCAAGTTTTTTTGGTTGTTGTTTTGTGGCATGTTTTCAACATTTTCTTGCTGTAGTTGTTTAGTAGAACTTTCAGCGTTTTTCCAGCCAGTTTTTTCGCCCCTGACACTAATCATTCCGTCTTTTGTTGCTCTTAATATGTAGGCAAATACTCCTGGAGTTGAATTCTTAATATAACAACATCTAAGTTCAGAACAAAGAGAAAATTCCGTCGTATGTTGTTAACGTCCTCCATAAAACGTGAAGTTAGGCATTTTCACGTTGTAGTCGTGCATCGAATGCAAAGAAATATACAAAAAAGCGTGCTACAAGTGCAGAGTTGTTGTTGCTTTTTTTATGTTCTCATTGCACGTCAAGCTCCCTATACTGCTAGGGCCAGATGGCCATGACAGAAGCCTCAGTTACAAAGTTAATGTTAAAACGAAAGTCCTGAAGAGAAATGAAGCACGTGTAAATAGATCTTGTGGTAAACTTTGTAGGGACTAAATAACTCCTAGAAAGGAGGGCTGATGTCCCCCTTTTCTAAAACAACCCATTGGATACGCTTGCGCATCTCACACAGTGCAACTGCAGTTAAGTTCATTATACATCTTTATAGGACTACCTGTAGTAATTATGTTTGCATTTTATTTGTATCTTTAGCTGCAGATCAAACCCGTGTCATGCAGGAGCAGATGCAAATGCAGATGCAAATGCCACAAGATCCCAGCAAAGCATTCAAGGTATGCACAAATTATTTTTGACGTGTTTCATGAAGACTGTTCTCAACATGTTGAAAGGGTTGGGGGGAGGTTGCTGCTGAAGGAAAGCGGAAGTAGGAAATGTATTTTTCCCATCTCAGTCCCCACGGGCAATGTGTTCCCTTCCCAATTATCGCTGACCATAGGAAATCAAGGTAGCGCGGGTCTTTCGAACACAGCAATCGACTGGGACAATGATGTTTCATGTAGTTATTAGTGACAGCATTTACTGGATGAAGGTGGAGATTTGGGGTGACGAAAAAAAATCTTGTCAAAGGAGCGTTGCGGAGGTCAAAATGGCAAAGATCAGGGAGGGGAGGGACCTCCTAAGTGACACACCCCAAGATGGTGACTTGAAAACTTATTTTGCTCCTAACAGAGAAGGATAGAAAAAATGTCTGCCTTTTACCTCGTGAATGTATTCACAAGGTTAAAGTGGGCACTTCCACTTTATTGATCTGTTCGTCGATTCTTGTAAACTTTCATTGTATGCAAATGAGGATTGATTAAGAAAGGAATTGTCACTTGATTAGTATGCGGTTAATTTTCGGTGATGACTGAAATGAAGTGCCATTGTGATCACGTTTTGAAAATAGTTGAATTTGTCTCCAATCGAGGTAGGCCCTTGATTTTCGTCGTTTTGTACACGTTTGACTCGCCGTTATGTACATTTTGCAAAAGAGAAGTGGAATCCATTGAACATTTAATTTTTCATTGTAATGTGACGGATACTTTTTGGGAAATGTTTTGCTCTTGGCTTCGTGAATGTGAGGTTACATTACAATCTTTTACAACAATGCATATTTTGTGTGGAGTTTTTAACACTGGAGATGATTTTTCATTCCCAATCATCTGATTCTGGCAACTAAATTGTTTATCTGTAAGTGTAAATTAAACAATACGCTTCCTTCTATTAAATTTCATATGCCTCACACTTTACTGATAAAGTCTATAGTTTATGAACAATTGCATGTAACACTAATGTCTGTATCATGATATTGCCGTATTATTTTTTTCTCTTCCTACTTTGATGGCATTGTGAAAATTTCTATGGTAATTCGTATTTTCTGTGGCAGTAATCTAAGTCGTGTATATCGAAATAGGCCACTTCGGAGTTCCAAAAACCCTCTCTTTCAAATGCAGTTCACAGTGCAAGACAGAATTTTGAACAATAGTTGTTTACCTGCAAAAACGCCTAGAAAATCACTTAAGTCTAATTAAAGTTATCTACTGCCATGAATTCGGATGAAAATTCATCCGAAACACGCCAAAAATGGTTAAAAATGAGTAAGGTAGTCATTGCTTGGATAATTTAGTCAAAGGGTCAATTTGAGGTCAAAAATGTTTAACTGAACAAAGTGTGCAATACTAACAAGGCTTTGTCATCTATCAAAAACTCTAATTAACATACTTTCATTAAAGAAATATCATGGCGGGGATGCTCCAAAATGGAACACGCTTTACACCGAATAGCCTATTTCCGAGTTCCCCCGGGCCTCTGTTTCAAAACGAGGGTAGGTGCTCAGCCTTTGATATGGAAATCATTTTTCATTCTCATGCAAATAAAACTCATTTACACAAGAAAGGTTGTGCACTTAGCCTCATTTTGAAAGTGAGGGTTTTTGGAACTCGGAAGTGGCCTATTAAATGTTAGGAGAAGGGGTATGTTGATCATAAGTTGACCATAGGCAAAACCATAACAATAGAAAAATCATAGGATTACAAGTTAAAATTAGTTAACTAAAACTAAACTGATATGTACAGTTAACAAGTGTCACCGCATTCGTCAAAGACGACTAACGTAACTCTTAAAACAGTCATTCTCTGGACGAGAAAACAAAAAGGGCTTGACAAAAATAAAACTAACCTCTCCTGTCACGAGGAGAGAATAACGATCGATCAGCTTCATTGCGGGGGATTTTAACACCCAGGAAAAGAGCCAAATTGATTTTACGATATTTTTCCCCATTGTACGCACAGTATATTTGTAAACGTAGCAATCTTTAATAAATCCCAAGCACCAAATAAAATTCCTTTAATAACGTTTTACTCAAAACATACGCACTACGAACATTTTTCATCTTTCTCGTTTTTTATCTTTTAACAATAATCAGTGGTAACTTGAGGTTTTTAACCGGCTTTCTAATGTTGTCCGTGTACTTTCTTATAGGCGGAATGGGAAGCTTTAGAGATTGTAACACATGACTGGTCACTAGAAAATGTCGAGGAAGAGATGATGACAGAGTTTTCACCTGCAGATGTTGAAGTCATTGCCAAGGATAAATATGTTTAATTTTCTTGAAGGCCAGCACGTTTAACAGACTATAACAAAAGAGACGTTACATGTGAAAGGTTGTTAACAGTGAAAAAAAAGCACTACTTGGACCCTATGTCGCCTGCGACCAAAATGCTAACGTTGCTTAATGTCACACCAAAACAACTACAACAGTCAATTTGGAATAGCTAACTTCTTTTCACTGAATATCTTTTGAGTAAGCTTACAGCATTTGGAGAGTCTCTTCGTTGTATCCAGTTCTGACATTTCCAAGTAAAAGGACCTTCAGTTAATACCCTTAGTAGTTCATATGCTTTATTTGTGTTGTTATCGTGTAAATGTACAATGAAAAACAATGAAAGTTTCCCTGAAAAGCATGGCGCAATTTCCCTTCATTTTTGACGTTCTTGTTGCCGTCCGCGTCGTTGGATCTTAAACTCCCTATTGCTGGATGGCAAACGACGCAGTGGGACCTTGAAAAGATAGGATGTTAGCTTTTTTATGATATAATCTCGGTTTTTGTACCACGTGACCGTATTCTGCAAAGGGCAAAATGCCCATTGCAGGGAATAGGGGCAAAATTCCACATCTCCATTGAACTTCCAGCCTCGTAGTATAATGACAGCTATTCAATCGGGCTCTCTCCACATGGAAATGTTGCGTACGGTGAGGGGCGCAGTGTTTCGTACAAAGATGAAAATATTCATTGAATTAGTACATGAAAAATTCGGCGTCTGAATCAATTAGGAACGCCTATTTCAATTTAGAAAGGCACAGCTGTTCTTCCCGCCTAGCACGGCCGGGAATTTCGACGGCGGAACGACTTTGCGGGTTTGATTCAGACGCCGAACCTTCCATGTGCCTAACCTAATGCATAAATTGTAGTAACGGTCAGTAACGTATTTTGACCGAAGCAGTTTGACCGAAATGAGCATTTTTCTCGTTTTGAATTTAGTTTGGTTTGAATTAAGATCGGCACATGAATCAATTCAGCCGGTCCAAATAATTCGGCTGTGCCCTAATTCGAACTATGTTCGGCTCATGAAAAGTTCGGCGTCTGAACCGGGCCTAAGTGTCACTGTTGAGAGTTTACCTGGACATGTAAAAAGTCACGTCCACATCCTCGGGCCGCAACTACACCATGCCTTTAATTCATGTTTCACTTGTTTTGGTCTCAAAGGTGACAAATATGGGTTGTGCCAGCCTGCGCCACAGACAAAACTAAACCTATGATTGAGTCCGTCTGCTCGCCGGCTCCCCGCCTGTGTATACCAGCATTTCAGTCTTGCGGTGAAAAAACAAGGACCTCTGCCCTGCTTCACAGACGTTTCCATCCAGTCTTAGATTACGTCTGCGACGTAGGTTAGGCTGTACCAGTAAATGTCGAGTCCCATGTGTATCTAGACTGCAAAACAGTTGGGTTTTTTACTCAGAATCGGTTTAGCGTAGCGTAAGAGTCTCACGCGTGCGAAGCGCACGAGCCTCACACGCCCGCCCCCAGTCTTGCGGTCTGTTTTCAGCCTCACTCCAGACCTTTTGTTTGACTATTCGGCCGTACTTGAACACGCAAAAATACGGACTGTTTTGCAGTCTAATTTGTATCCCTTATGACCAAATCCATTTGATTGTTTTGCCTAAATTGATCTGTGAATGCTTTCAGAGGGTTTGTCTGATTGTATCACCAACCGGTTGTCGTGTATATGTCGCCATTTGCACCAGCTGCTGCCAACTGGGGCGTTGCATTAAGGTTTTTTATTCATCCTTGCGGATTCATGGTTGCTTCTCCTTCGTTTTTAGCATTATTCAGCAACGTTCCCAGGTAAGCATCATACGCATACACATCCGTCTCCTCGGTCATCAGGCGCCAGTGAACCAGAAGGTCATTTGCTTGACCAAACTGTGGCCCAGGCTGTGTCATCATCATCAGAAACAACGTCCGCAAACACACCATTTGTAACCCGGGTTGTAAAGAAAGAATACAAGCGGAAATATATTACCATGTGACATGTGCGTATTCTTCGATGGTTCCCATTCTGACCACATCGCGAATTGGGGGTTTGGGGAGGGAGGCATTCAACCACCATCCTTTTTGCTGACCTCTCATGACTTTTTTATGAAGGCATGCGCAGTGCTCGAAGAAATGCTGGAGGGCGTGACTGACGAGTGCTGGTCTACTTGGAAAATATCGTTGACTCTTTTCACTTTAGTTGTCAGTCTTCGTCTTCGTTTGGCGGCTCTTCCACCATTGTTCTAGTAACGAACACTGCTTTCTCCTGAGGTTTCTTTTTTATATCTTTTGATAGTATTTCCTGCTTCTGTCCACGATTTTCCACGTTTGAAGTTTTGAACAGCTTTTTTTGGAGATTCTATTACCAATGGCCTACGGCAGGGACAATCCCTCCACTGCCTGCTGGTAACACTGGAGGATGATATCTTGTGAGACTTCCTACAAGTGCCTACGCCAAGCACGTTCAACGATGTTGGAAAAGGTTGGGTCCGAGGCCCCAGACTACGATCACACCAACCCCTGCCAACCAGCACTGGGCCAGCAGGTGGAAGGGTCTGGCCCATTTCTATCCATGAACTACTTCAACGAAACAACGGCCGTTCCTTTTGGGTCAACGGATCTAAACCAAGGCCTAACCTCATTGCTCACGGGTAGGGGTGATGTGTGTCAAATGCGACTACCCAACCAACAACGTAGCGAGGACAAGTTTACGAGGCTTCAAATCGCAACCTACAATGTACGTACACTTTCGGACGAGAGTCACCTTGTCGGGCTACTGAAAGGAGATTAAAAACATAAAATGGGATATCATCGGTATCAACGAAATGAGAAGACCAGGTGAAAAGATTATAGATCTCGGAAGCAAATACATACTTTGCAACATGGGAAACGACAAGAAATATGGAGAAGTAGGTTTCCTAATCAACAGGAAGCTTAGCGGTATCATTGTCATCACTGTCCACCTCTGACCGTGTCGCCTCAGTTACCATTCGCATTTTATGGTGATATAGGCTATAAATCATTCAGGTCCTACGCTCCCACACCCCTCTCCGGTAGAAACTGGAAAATTTCCATGACGATCTCTACACAGCCGTCCAAAACAACAAAGCCCACTTCAACTCCATCAAGGGCAACTTTAACGCAATAGTTGGAGGCGGAGATGAAGAATGTCTAGGCGCCTTCGGCCATGGTGATATAGAAAAGATCGAGGAGAGGAGCATGTCAAATTCGCCATTGCCCACGGCTTTTAGATCATGAACCCGTTCTTCGAAAAGAAGAACCAAAGCAGATGGACCTAGCGTAGTCCAAGCTACAAAACTTTAAACGAAATTGACTATATCATGGCAGACAAACACCAGGGCTGAGTTGCTCAAAGCATGGTTAGCTTTAACCACCGGTTAAGCAGTATCAAAACCGATACGTTGTCAAGGTATTTAACGCTGGTTAACGCTAACCATGCTTCGAGCAACTAGACCCAGATCGTTAAAAACGACAAGGTCATGAATCAGGTCAATATCTGCAGTGATCACAGGATCGTAAGATGTAGAGTTCAAATGGACACCAAAAGACCCCCTGCAAAAGAGCCAAGAAGTCCTCCAAAGAAACTGTAGATCTGATGGAGAAACGAAAGAATCTCCAACCACCAACATCATGTGACGGAAGGTTTTTCCACTTTGAAACGAATTTAAGGCTCAACGGGAACTCGGTGCTTGACTCACGATAAAACTGGGGGAAACTAGACTCAAATGGCAACTCGCTTGCGGGGAAGAGCCGTCACTTCTCTGAAGGACCGGGATCTGACCACGAACTGGTACAGCAGTAGATAAAACAGAATTAAACTTAGGTTCCAACAGCATTTATTCTTCAGCGGATCAAACAGCAATAACTCTGCTGGGACACGGCGAAATAATCGGCGATGTAATCGGCGATTTAATCGAAAAATCAGTTCAAAGCAACTTACTTATATATGATTCTTACAACCATTGAAGACAAAAGAATACAATAGAAATATAAACAGAAATCACTTAGAGTTAAATGAAAACCAAATACAAATTCTATTTTGAACCTGAAATCTTTTGTTACTGTTGCTATTTTAGAAAGTAAAAGTACTGAGACAAAGACCTAGCCAGGTCAGCAAAACAGCGTTTATGTACAAAGTGTTACAATATGAATTAAATTGCAAGTTCAGCTATCGCCTGTTTAAACAGGAAAAGCGTAGACTAATTGGAAGTTTTCACCCTAAACAAAAACCGATCTATTTTTAAAATTACAGGACAGCAAAAACCTTTCATATTCAAAATTCGGTTATCACCTCTCCTTAACTAACAACTTAATGAAATATACTTTTGCAAATAAATATAACCAACTTGCAATTAGAACGAGGTACACCTGTATCAAAAGGCGTTACTATGAATAAATGTCGTCCGGTAGTAAAATCATGAAAAATAGACTAATTAAAGTCAAATAAACCATTATTAAGAAATTAAGTATTCTTTCAAGAGTCAACATTGGCGTAAAATGTATATAATTGAAAAGAGAACGAACAATTAGTTTTGTTTGTTAAGGAACACTGTTGGCTTTTCTATGATTATTACCTAGCGAACACAAAGCAAATGAAAGAAAGGACAATAAAATGGCACGAGCATTTTTTGCAGAGTTAAAACCTCTTTATGCAAGTTCAGTATGAATTACTAAAACATCGTCAAAGCGAATATTTGAAAGCTATATATGAAACTCGAGGCAAACAAAGAATTCATGGAAAATCTCTCCTCACAATAAGCTCGAGAAAAGGTTGAACAGCAGAACTGATCGAACAAAACCATAAAAAAGAAACAACTTCGAGGTATCAGAAAGCACAGAACGGAGACAATTCAAGAAGTAATCAAGCAAGGAAAAGGCTTTAAAATGGCAAGGAAAAAACTCAAAGGCGGAAAGCTTCAATTTACAGGAGTTCTAGAGGAGGACAGCTCGTTGACAACAGACAGGGACCGAATTGTTGACCGAGCCCAAA